TTTCGGGTTTCAGTAAACGTCTCCTTGCTCTTCCATAGAGCCCTGCACGAGCAGGACCGCGGCCTCGCAGGGGCTTTCCCCACAGCTCACACTGGCCACGCTGCAGGTTTCAACAGACTTTTCTCTTCAGAGAGTAAAGCAACAAATACAAGGACAACAAACGCACCCACGTGCAGCAGTTGACCGTGAGCCTCACTGTCTACATCACCCCAAAACACATCAAGAATTGCCAGTGCCCTTTTCTAGGCAGATGCTGCTAAAAGCTGGTAAAGGAACTCAACTTGGAAGATTTCAGGACATACATCAAGGAGCTCCCTGCATCTCTTCAGCACGAACCTGATGTTCATGCTTTGGTTAGGAACTACGGAAGACCCAGCAGCAAAGCACAGTGCAACGAGCCAACCTTCACCCCAGCATCAAACTACCCCAGACACCAACTCTGAGCTGGGAGCAGCAGAGCTGCAGCACTGGCCTTACCTGCAGTGAGGATGTTGCTGCAGCCAGGTCTGTGGCCAAAAGCACTGCAGGAAGAGGTCACTGGTTATCAAACCTCACCTGGGACCAGCCATTCCCACCCCTTGGCCATTCACTCCTGATGGGAGCGTAAATTACTTGGATAAGGATAACCTGGGAGCGGAAGCCATGTCAGAGGGCAGTGTTCCAGCGAGCTCCTCTCCTTGTATCCAGCAGTAACCTTCCCCCAGGAGATGGGAGGAAGGCAATTCCTGCAGACACTACTGTCTGCTGCAAGGTCTTTGCTGCTTTCCCATCTCTGCATCAGTGTAAGCTAAAATGAGCTACAGCTAGTTGGTGTACAACAGGGATATGTAGCGGTGAACAACTAGACAGATAAACTAGTGTAATCAAGCAGTGGTAATTTGACAGTAAACCTTTCTGTCTCCAACATCGTGGATCTAATACTTAAACCTTTACATCATCCCTTGCTAAGCAGCAGTGGCAAGATGCTCACAAGGAGGCAGTGCACTGGGGCCCTGGATGTCAGCACCACATGGGATGAGTAATGCAATCGATACAGAAAAGGCAATAATAAAAACAACTTTCAAAGAGAAAAAGGCATTTTATTGAGGGGTTCCTTGTTCCAATCACAGGAGAGAGAAAACAGAAGCCATAATGTGTTTATATCAACCACAAGTTTAAAACAAAGTAGAGCAATCAAGTACAGATTTCTTCATCTAAATACACTGTGAGAAAGGCAAGCAGTGCTCTGCTGCTGCAGGCAGTGTGCTCGTGCAAGAGGTTCCAAGACACCAAGATCTTCTTGCTCTGCTCCCATGCTTATGCCTCTGTTGAGACACTTGCTGTCAGTGTTCCTTACCAGTTTCTACATGCTCCACCACAATTCTACTTGGAGTATTTGCCCTCCATTAGATGGTTTGCATGTAGCTTGAGCTGTTCTCGCATCTCTGACACAAATTAAGGCAAGCAAAGCCCTTAAATCCAAGCAGAGCTCTGCCAAGCACCCCCAGCCCCTCGCCCCTTTTATTCCTGATACACACCGGAGCATGTGTAGGGACTGGCCGTGTTATGGGAGCAAGGATGCTGCCCATGGCCACATCAGCCTGTTCCCCTGCTGCCTCTGCTGATGTCCCACACATTGGTCCTGCTTGGCAGGGCGAGTGGGAACCTGCCTCCCCACCACCCCTACACTGTCAGTCCTTCCCCATCACCTCACCCAAGCGCCTGCCTCCCTTTTGGGTGCAACCAAAGCAAACCCACTGCAACCCCCTGCACCACAGTCCCTGCACAGCCACACAGCAGTGGCAGAACATGGTGTTACCCCATGGTAACACAGCTCTGAGCCGTGGGGCTCCCCTTGGTCCCAGCCCTGCACAACCTGCCTGCATGGCTCTCGCATCCCCCAGACCTCTTCAGAGGCATGACGCTGCGTGGCAAAAACTCCTGGCCTTGGCTCCCACAGCAAGGATGGATCACAGAGGAGCTGGAGGCTCAGCCCATGGGAAGCATCTTCCCTTCCCCATGTCTGGAGGGTTTCAGCTGCACGGACACACCGGTGTACACAGGATGCTGTATCTGGCTCAGGATCATGAGGAGCTTTGGCAGCTTCACCCGTTGTCTGTGCACCAGGAGGGCACCCCCAGCACTGCCCATCACCACGGGGTTTATGGACTCTTGTGAACTCAATAACCAGATTTTGCCCGCTCATCTGCCACACTTTTCCAAATGACTTATTTAAAGTTACATCAAAGCAAAATATAAAGGCACCAGAACTGCCTACACCACAATGTTACATGGAACCCTTTCCTTTTAGTGCTGCTATTGATACCAAAAGCCTCTAAGTACCAAGAGAGCCCGGGAAGCAGCAGAGCGATGCCCGGTTGATCCAAGGGGAGCAGCTGCCAGGTCATGGAGCACTTTGGCAAGAGAATGGTAAAATTACTCTCCAAGTATCCCTGTGTCTGGAATACCACATCCCAGCCTGCTCAGCAGCCCTGACTGGTTTTTCAAAGGCAAACACACAAGGTCAGAGGGGTGTTTGAAGGAACTGGTAGTTTCTGAACTGCTTGTGCAGAGGAAAGCACCAGTAGCATGAACAGACTCACACACAATCATGTCATGCTCTGTACTAGAGGCCACTGCACCATCACCGCTGCACCCAAGGCTTGGCAAAGGCTGGAAGGGGCTCCACACACCTGGGAAGTGGTTTGCTCTTTGGTTGGATGCTTCCTGCGGAAATGTGTGTTTTCAACACAGTGAATCAATAGCAGGTTGCTCGAGGTGGCCAAGAGGACACCCACCAGCATAAAGCCCCAGCACAATGGGAGGTTTAAGCATCCCTCACTCACAACCAATTCCTCTTCCAGTCGCTGCTCAGCTGTGGAAGCAAAGCTGATGGGAGGAGGATCTAGGCACTGTTGCCAAGGGTGCTCCAGGATAACCACCCTTCCAGCTCAGCTCCAGGCCCTGACCTGTGGGACAAGGCTGGATTTGTCAGCCTTCCCCATGACTGCACCTCATCAATCTGGGATGTTGAAGCCCAGGGTTTGCTGATTTCTTTAATCCACTGATAAAGCATGTTATCTACAATGATTAATTTTGCATCAAAGAATCCACTACAACGAGTGGTGGCCTAAGACAACCTAGTGGGACTTTCTACAGAGCTCACGTCCTAAATCCATCTCTGTTCGCTGTGAAACATGGCTCCTCAGTGCACTTGGCTTCTTCATGGAATTCTTCTCCCATCAAGTCCACGGCTCTGTTTATTCCCACATGGGGAATAGTCCCATGCGGGGAACAAACAGCACTCCCGAGCTGAAGAATAATTGATTTACCAGCTTTGAGTGGGGTTGGTTTAAACCTCAGAAATGAGGGTTTGTTATTTCACTTAACTGCAATACAATAGGATTATCTCAGATGGCAAGATATTCGTTCTCCTAAGAGTAATTGTGATTGATGAGAACGCTGAGTGGAAGGAGGACAGTAAAATTAATGTGGAGCAAGAGGGGTCTATGGAAAAGAGAACTTGTTCAATTAACAGAATAATGAATTTCAGCTTGGTCAATAAATGTAATCATTTGGAACCAATATTCTTTGTCTTTCATAAACTATTTGACCTCACACTAACATGACATTTTGATTAGGAAAAAAAAACCCAAACCCAGAATGATACAAAGCCAAGCTGTCACACATCAAACAGATAAAAACCTAGAGACTGAGAGGTCCCACGGCAACTGCAAAGAGGTGAAGATGGAGATGATGCGTTTCCCATGGCGCTCCGGAGGGACAAGTCCTCGTCCTTCTGCACTCTGGTGTTTTGCCAGCAGCCTGAAGAAACCATGAAAGCATCACTGGTGAAGTCAGGGAGTGACACGAGCTCTCTCTGGCCACAGCCCGGGGCTGCCCAGCGCACGGAGTGTGTCTGAGCAGCAAAGGCCACATGTGCCTGGGAGCCCCGCCGTGGAAGGTGACGTGGGGACGCAGAGCTGACCGTGGCTGCTGCTGCAGCACAGCGGGCAGGACCAGCATGGCAGCGGCCTCAGGGGCTCAGCTCGGCGCAGAGGCCAGCGCACACATGCCGGTGGCGCGTCACAAGAGATGCTTGTCAGGGGGGACTCCCCAGTCCAGCTCTATCAAGGCATCACAAGGACCCCAGGGTTAAGGCTTAAACTAAGCAGGTTTAGACTACAATGGGTTTTTTTTACAGTGAGGACAATTAGCTATGAGGAGGTTTTAGCAGAGGTTGTAACAGGTTGTCCACTATTAACTTTTACTGTGAGGATAATCGGCTGGCTCTGGTTCTTGTCAGGGGGGACTCCCCAGTCCAGCTCTATCAAGGCATCACAAGGACCCCAGGGTTAAGGCTTAAACTAAGCAGGTTTAGACTACAATGGGTTTTTTTTACAGTGAGGACAATTAGCTATGAGGAGGTTTTAGCAGAGGTTGTAACAGGTTGTCCACTATTAACTTTTACTGTGAGGATAATCGGCTGGCTCTGGTTAGAGCAGGGGTTACTTTAGGGCGAT